ATATGTGCAATCGTACAAAGGAGTATGTGTTCATGTATACGATGTAAGTAAAAATGTAGAATTGAATATAAGGTATGTCCTTTCATTCATTCATTTGTTTGGTTTACAGGCGTAGTCACCATAGCAGGCCGTTTAACAAAATTGAATGTCTCTCATTTGTATAGACTCAAGCAGGATAGTCTTCTATTTTTATTATTAGGCTATCAAAGTGCCTTTGTCACATTTTTGAATGCTTGTTCTGGCTGCAGAATGTGCTCTGCCTTCGCTATGTGCATTGCACACGACATTTGAAAATTTATGTTTATAAGAAAAAGAGAAAACGAAAAACTTTAATGTCTTTATACATTTCGGTTGAAATTTTTATATATATATATTTTTAAGTTAACACTTATCAAGCATGACCATGTTTTTCGAATATTTTTGAAAAAACTATAACCTCTCGCAGAATTTTATTCAAAATGTTTATGCTTACTTAAAATTGGATTAAATGGCAAGTGTTTTAGTCAAGCGAAACGTCAAGAATTTATATCAATTAAATTTAGGCCACATGTATTATAGTTTAACGTAAACATTCTTAGTACTCCATAATACTGCTAGGGCAGGTAAATAACACATCATTTAAGATGAGAATATAAAGAGAAAATTAAAAAAAAAAAATAAAAAAAATATTTACTCAAAAATTACAAATATTGTACATTAAAAGAAACGTAAGTGCTTATATAGTCCTCCAGTCCTCCAGTTATAGTCCTCCAGTCAAGTCCTTTAACAAGGCTATTCGGCTTTCTCAACCTTCTCATCCAACTATTTGCTTTTATTTCAATCGTGCTGCGCACAACTTTTGTGCTGGCTAAAAAATGATTTGCGTGCATGTTCATATTAAGTTTTCCTTTGATAGTTCGTTCGCTGGCGAAAAGTGGGCTACGGGTCTGCTAAAAAAATTGCAAATTTCAGATTTCCGTACCGATTTATCAAATAAATTAAACCCTTTTTGCGCAGGTTTTTATAGTTTGTGCAATGGCGATAATAAGCCCTCTTAGCTACAGATAAGGTACCTTTATGAGTTTACGCTGACAGATTTTGGCTTGCTTTTTTAGTTACAATGCCAATCAGAAGGATACCATAACTTCTCTCAATATCAACTGGGATTTTTTGAAAATTTCGGCATTTTTTTTCTATTTTGAAGATGCTCTTGTCCGCAAGTTTTAGTATGTGGTTGCGGAATTGTTTCCTCACACAACTGAAAAGTTCCTACCTTACTACGTTTGCATTCAAACAAGTTTCTGTGAGTCATATCAAATGACGCCATGTCATTTTTGTGGTCAGTTCTCTACGAAGGGTGTTATATTGTCATGTCTGCATAACCGATGATGTTTTGCAAAGCGTTAGAAGCTTTTTGGGTATATGCTTGCAACGTATTACATTTCGTTCAAGAAAAATTCGAGGATAGTAATCTTAGTTTTATTCAAATTTCGACTTGATGTTTTCACGAAAAGTTCATTACTTTAAGTTCAATGCAACAGAACTGAAAATTTTCTCAATCTCAAATTATAAGCAGGAATGCATGAAGACGGACACTTTTTATCTACGGTAAATAAATTTGCATTGATAAGCAAAAGAATAATATTTACGTATATTATGAATAATGAAAGCCGTATCCCGGTTTGACTTTGTCAGAAAAAAAAAGTAGGTTCATTTGGAAGAAGTAACATTACAGTCGATTAAAAGCAAACAAATACATTTTCTACACCGCTTAGCGTAATACAATTCGTCATACACACTTCTTATGCCCTGATAAGGAGAAAGTCTTCATAAGACGTCTTGTATGGGAGGGGAGCGAAGCATGAACTAACTTGCCTCAAGTTTATGAATTTCCTTTTCACTGATTTCGTTGTTCTTCGTCGATGGCCATCATAGAGTGTATAGAGTGTGCCAATTAAACAAGAGACTTACGTGGTTCGACTTTGGTAGTATGAATGTTTATATGAAAATACAATTCTCATGGAAATTTGGAGATTAGACATGTGCGGTTGGTAACTTTATTTTTGATCAGAAAAACGGCCCGTTTCAATCCGTATCCGATAGGATTTGTAGCTAGGCCAACACATGTTCGTATAATAAAAATTTCATCAAACTATCTAAAAAACTGACCTGAAATTTAAAGACAAGAATATGGGACGGAGAGACAAGCTTTAATCCATTCAGAGAATGAAGCGTATTCGCAGATGCTATGAATACCAATGACATTAGAATTATGTTTATCAAAATTAAATAATATAAATTGAAGCGCAGTTATATTTTTCAAGATTTTTTCAATTTAAATAGCACTGTATTCGCTCATTATATTTACGCTTAATAAAATTAAAGAAAAAAAAATAATAAAAATACACACAAGAACAAGACTGTAATTCATTCGTTTCACATAGAATCGTTTACTGATTGGCCTTGGCCTGTCATAAAAGTTTTGATGTCGCGGTAACAGGCCAAGCTCTTCATTGCAATTATGGGCATTGCTATATTGGTGGAAAATAGAAATTCTGTTTTCATGCCATAATGATGGCGAACGAATTGACTTAGACGAATTGTTCCTTTTTGCGATTTACAACGACCCAAATCAATTTTAATTTAAAGAACAAAGGGCAAGTCTTCGCTTGCCTATATGAAAAACTTAAAACACGTAAGTATGCGTTTACACTTTTGCCAACAATCGAATACTATTTGCGAACCGTCTAACATATAAATTATATATGAATAAAGCAAATTGCAAGTTTTCTTTTAGTATATGTCCAAGCTATTCGAAAGTTAAGTAACATTACAACGAGAAAATAATGCGGTTATATTGGTTAATTATTTCGGGATTCATTATTGTATCGACGCAAGAAATAAGCCGGGAGGACAAAGACAAAATTCCTGTTGTTCGTGCATTTTACGGCCGTCAAGATGGAAAGTCAGTGGAGGAAACTATGTCCATGTACGCGAAAAAGTCGGACAAAAGTGGAACCAAGACTCGTTCAATTTACAAAGAAGTAAACCTCTTGGTGTCTAATCCTAACAAGAAATAATTTCGGCTTTTAACGTTACTCGACAAACCGTATAAAAAAAGTACATAAATAAAACAAAACCAAATTGTAAATACAAACCATTATAATTTCTTAAGAAAAGAATAATTTCACATTTCGTTTGGCTCTAACGTTCCCGTGTATTGATTAAACATTTCGTGAACAATTTTCAATAAACTTCGATTACCACAAAAAGTATACTTTTTCTATTGTATTTTATGAAGAAATACAGAGTAACGTATGATATATGCTCGCATGAGCAAAGCGAGACGATACATTGCCCATAGAAAAAAGAATCTAATATTAATTATATGAATCTGGTCCCCGAATTAGAGGTGCCTATTCGCTTATTTATTTGTTCGACTAGTACACGAAAGCCGTTCACGTTATACAAAGAAGCTTAGAGTTACAAATTTTGTATTTGGCCTTGCGTATTGTTGTATTAATACTATCTACGTCGCAGCACTCAATTTATAGTTATTTATATTGTACTAGCAAAACCTATTCAATACTAATATGTGGAACGTATAGTAAACGAACTATTAATATTTTGATCCGGCTAAGCCAATCAGAAAAAGGGAATAGTCGTTAGTGTTCTTCAACGCAACATAAAAGAGATTAAAAACAAAAACGTAAGTTTACTGGGATATGGCGCCTCGACCTTACTTACGAAATTTTAGTATAAATTTTCCTAAGTAAGGCTGCTAGGTATCCCCATTTATTCATTTAACTATAAAGGTAACTACAAGTGGTGGTCTTCGCCTATTAAGAATTTGTCAGACGAACCAATTTCAGAGAGTTGACGTAAGGAGAAAGATTGAAATTGAGGTTCCACCCCAGCCCACGTAAGACAAATATGACACGTTGCCCTTGTACACACTCCATCGAATCTCTGCCCAAAAGCCGGCAGAGAGTCGTTTTAAAGTAGATGTTTGTGGTTTAGAGAGTGTTACTCACCATTTTTGCAAAGAGATAAATATTTGTATTTCTCGTACCAACTATGAGGGGAATCGCCCACTACCTGCGATCTGTGCGTCGATCTCTTAATGACAATTATAATCTTTATGACATGATGCCCTCATAATTTCTGAAAGCAAAAACTGAAAGTAAATGCCTGGATGCTTTACCTTGTTGTCGTTCTAATTTTGGTTAGGATTATCTAGGTGGGGTAACCATTTCTTAGTACATTCTGAGTTTTTTTCTTATTTCGAAATTGATATTCTACGCATATAACTAGGGAGTGTTACGAAGTTATGGAAATGAGCAGATAAAAATTTAGGAATAGAATTAGGACATAAGTGTTTCCTTATTTGTCCTCGGACTGTATTCTATCCTAAGCGTTTATAATTAGTTGTAATACTATGTCTTGTAGTTAATTTAATTTGAATACATAATAATCACCAAATCCACTCCAACTTACATCACGTATCGACCGATGTATTCAAACTAAGGCTCGTACTGTTTAATATGTACTTCGAATGATTCGTGTCACCGTTCAATTATTGTTCACTCCTGTACTCGCAGAGCTTTCTGAAACCTATTAATTTTTATTACTTAATGTAGATGTCATGGTTTTTTTATAGAAAAATTATACAACAAAAGTGAAACTAAAGCAATTTATAACACGTTTGTTCCACATATAATTATTGTGCCTTAGCTCTCTTATATTGTTTCATTTGTGTGAAATCTTACGCATCTTTGGTCAAGTAAGGGCGAGTAAGGTTTAGTATGAAGACAATACAATGCCAACCAAAAGTTGGTAAAATTCATCATGTGCAAGTTTCGCTTGATCAGCTAATCTTTCGTTGCTTTTGATGTTTTTTTGAAGTTCGATAAACAAGAACATCAATGGCTAAGAAATATTGTAATAATTTATGTAAGTATTTAATGGTACTGACTGATTCAATTGATTATTTGAATGCTATGATATTTTATTAGCACAGCCAAGCTTTGAATCATAGTTGCGTTGATGCTTTCGGCCTCGTTTCTTATTGGTAGCGATTTGCTTTAGTTGAAACAGCAGTCAATTTTTGCGGCATAAACAAAGTCCATGCACAAGCTGCTAACGTTTACGTTTGCCAACATTTTCTTGCTTATGAATAGCGATCGATCAGATAAACCGGCTGCGATTGATTACATCACACACCACGATTTGCGAAGTATTGCAATGTAATGAATTTCATTATTCGACCGTTCTTAACCGTCTGAATCATTTAAAACACGTAGCTTTGATTTTTAATTTACATTCGATTGTGGACGAATTCTTGACAACCACCGCATCAAAAAATTGGGGTCATTTTTACACTGAACTACTACTTCTAGGTGAAAATATTTTTTCCCATCCTTTATGGGCGAATTTGTAGATTCATATCAATTTTCTTGTTACGGTTTAAGGCGATCATCGAAATTGCGTGCTTTGGATGTTGGACCAAGATGTGCTGTAGTGTAATAGTCGATATAATTTTTAATGCATGGGCGTCGCTGTTACTTGCCTCAATTTTCAGACTGGAGTTTTCAATCGAAACTCTTGAGATCAAAAGCATTTCAATCCCTTGTGATGAACATGATGGAACAACAGCCATATGAACAGAACGAAGTAAATCGGTTCAAAGTCTTACTGAGAGAAACCATACGTACTTTATCAACTTTTTCTCATGCTCATTATACACTCTTACAAGCAATAGCACAAAGCTAGTATACCTCTACGGTTCGGCAAGTGATTTACACATTGAAAAATTTATTCTTAATAATTGGTAGAAATATTTGGCAGTTAAGAAGTCATATGGTGCATCAAGTCGTGTGCACGCTAAGCGGAATAACAATGCAGTTGTGTTTAGTCGGCACTTTGGTATTAATTATATCTTCAACTCGAACGCAGGCTACAGAAGATAACATCAATTACGGTTCCGATGAATCTGACGAATATGACAGCGATGACGACTATGAAGTTATCGATAAATATTTCGAAGAAGCACGCGCTAAAAGATTACAGCAACAACAATTACTGGTGAACAAAGTAGTCGGCAGAAATATTTCAAAGCAACGGACATATGAGGAGAGAAAAAAATCCAAAATGGATGCATACTTTACTCGCTTAAATGTTTTCTATTTTGGTTAAAGGAAAGAATCAAAAGCTGACAATTGTTATATAAAAATTTTAAAATGCATATAAACATATGTACATATGTATTTTATTGCAAAAAAATCGCATATTTTTAAGAAAGATATAGAAATAGAAAAATAATATTCATGTGCAATGTCTGAATAGTTGATAAAAGATTACAGAAACGCGGATTGTAAGATTTGCTCTCGCTTTGGCAATTGCGAATAATCGTTCGTGACTATTTATTTATCCTGTGGCATTAATAAGCAAAAGCAGAAAAGTGAAGCAACGTTTTAAGTGAAAGCCCACGAAAAGTTAAATACATAACTTTTCGTTACGAATGCAGTGGTGCATAATTATAGTTTTGAAATCATAATCGTGAGACAATGGCATGATTAAATCGATTGACGATGTTTATGTAGGAAGAATACACGTGAATAATATGAACAATGCCTTACGGTTTGCTAAAATACGAGGATGCCATTTAATATTTAGAATAATTAGCAATTTTCGGTAGGGTAAGGCCACAGTGTAGATTATTTTCAAGTACCGCGACCGAAAGTATTGCTCGCGGACTGCCCTCATTTTCGTCTAAAGAGGAAACAAGCAGAGAGAGAGAGTGTTTCGCATGATATTTTAATTCAAAATGTGGCCATACGTGGTTACTTTGTATTAGTGATTGTGTAAATGACAAACAAGGGACCGGCTTATGATTCGCAATTTCGAATACACTCGATTGAACAAACTCGATAGTTGCGGATAGTAGACACACTACAATGTGTGGCGTCAAGTTTAGTCGATATCGCACAAACCGGGCCAAGTTTCTTCTTTACACTCACCACCGAAAGATGAGGGTATATTCGTTTTGTGGAAGTGTTTGCACCAGCTAGAAATAAGCTTTCAAGATCAGATAAAATAAATATCTTCTTGATCACTATCAGCTTATGAATCGATCTAAGCATGTCCATCTGCTCATCAGTCTGTTTATAACTTTGAAAGCTCTTGCACGCCAAATATCATTGAAAATGGCCCAAATTGGAGACACGTGCGCAGGGCACCATAACTTGATAGCACCTATATTTTAAAATGGAATGAAAATAAACTTTTGGCTTACTTACTCATAAACTAAAATAACCGTAATTTTTATTTTTGTAAGTGACGTAATCCGTCCAATGTAATATCTTCGACTAATAGGTCACAGATAGATGTATAAGAATACGTAGGTCATCCAAATCTTGAAGCAATAGCAGAGAATATGCATAGAAAAGAGACTACGCACGCATAGTGAACAGAGAAAATGAAAGGAAAGGGATAGCTGGCGATGGATAAATTAATTCAAATTTTCATGAAACAAAAGAATAAGAAATTTATGAGATTACCCTGCGGTTACAAATGGTTAACGAACTGTGATCAGTAGGAAAAAAGAAAAACAAATGCACGCAAATGAATTACGTATATATTACATTAATAAACTTTAAATGAAATTAGCTGCTAGCCTGAGTAATGAACTTAAGCGCACACGTTTACAGAAATTACTTTTATAATAAACAAATGTTTTTAAAACTAAACCACCATAGGATGAGAGTATATTCATTTTACTAAGACGCTTGTAACAATCAGCAGCAGCCGTAAGACATACCATAAATGATATTTTTGATTGGCCTCAAGTTCGAAACCGATTTTATCATGTCTGCCCGTATGTCTGTCCGTGGTAAACATTCTTCTGGTTACAACAATGCAGCCATTCATGCACATAGGTGAGTGTTAAAAATTAGTGAAACCAAACTGAGACCAAATATGTTTTCAAGAATAATTAAAACTTGCTCTTGAGTATATATTCTGTGGATGATCCCGCTGCACATGCACAAAAACTGAAGAATATGACCGCGCCCATTCAATATTTTAGGATATTTGATTCTTTTATCAAGGCTTGCAAAGATTGAGGGACTTTATAAAATCTATATATTATTGGTACGTGTCAAACTGCGATGGGTATAAAAAATTCGGACGTGGTCGAATATAACATTCGTATATGTTTTGTTTTCAAACGCACTGTTTATCATGCATTATGTGCTGATGACCACTAAAGTCAATGAATCTCTGCGCATAATATTGCACTCTACTTACTATGCTTATATTCATACTCTTTAGTGCATTCTTTTAGGCAATTCGAGCACACGCGTGTTTATTTTGTGACATAAAATGCCTCTTTCCAACGTACATTTAAACATACGGCTACTGTCTATGATATGGCTTACATGTGCAAGTTGATGTGTGCAGGCATATTTGGATTTATAAAGTAATTAAATTTAAATGCCAACAGAGAAAAGGCAAACCAAGCACAGGCAATGTAATATACAAAAAAAAAAAAATAAAAATATAAACGAGTATGTACACAGGAGAATAGTGCTTTTATAACTGCGTCGAATATAAAACAAAATTTCAAGTGTAATGAAAGAAACAGTGAAATAACTCAAAACGAATCTCACGAGCCCTGCACGAAAGGCGAACTCGCTTTGGAAGTTATGAGCTCTTATAAATTCAATAAATTCTCAAATTAAGATACTATCGCATTTATTTGCTAATAAGAGCTTAGCGTCCATTTAATTATATACCTTTTCACTTAGGCGCAAACAACATTTTGATTTTTGTTACAAACATTGTTCGTCATTTAGTTGATTTAATGTCGTCGCTTTTATTAAAGTCGAAACGAAAATGTAATTTACCTGATGCAACCACTAAAATTGTTGAGTGGTTGGCATAAAGTTAAAAGGATTTTAATGGAAAAGAAAATTTCATTAAAATTTAATATCAGCTTAAATACTGTATAAACACATATTTAACCCAATTTAACCCAATTAGTTGATCCCATATAATATAAATAAATTTATGAATACCTGGATATCAGTACATAACTATAGATGCGTGCATTGCAAGCAATCGTTATCCATTCATATTCGACGGGTAGGAGATAAATAAGTCTGTAACGTTTTTTTTCTTCTTCTTTTTTATCTATAGTGCATAACGTTTGTAACGTTTAATCGGCACTGAATGTGCTGACAACAAGGCAGGAGGAGAGAAAAGGAATAGTAGAATAGAATTACATTGGACTTATTTGCCAGCTTGTAGTACCGAACAAGGCGTCAGTGAAACGATAAAGTATCCCATTTCTTCATCACTGAAAGTTTTCACGTCGCTCAATATTCTTAGTGGATGATCACACAAATTAAATGGTCTTCTTTCGTGTGGAGAGAGAAAGAAACAAGGAGGTGATGGCCGCCGTCTAGCGGATGCGTCTCTAATCGATAAATGTTATGGCATTTACTGACCGAGCATTCACTGGGGCTGCGACCAAAGAAAACTCTACCGTACTTGAAATTTGGACACAGGAACACGGGGACACAGGGACTGACTCGTAGGCACGCGACCTACCTAGTGAGCCAAATCACTATTGATCTAAAGAGTGCGATCAGTGACTAGTTGTAAAAGAAAACAACGCACTTTCTTGTTATCTTTTTGTACTCTATACTACTTATGCGGCACATAGAAAGACTTGACAAAGACACCAATTTTATTATACCTGTCGATTGAGAATCATTTTCTGAATCCATTTAAGCCTCTTGGTTGATCTGCCCCTCTGGTCTTTTCGCGTTCAATCAATAGGCCGCAATTTTTGAGATTTTTTGACGATATCTGGTACACCGACGTTCTTTGACGCAAGGATGAACGCTATTCAAAACGGTTCGAAACGAATCACTTTTTCGACCACTTCTTATATAACGTACCCTATTTTGAAAAGTCCTTACACGAATAACGGTACGCCGATGTAGGGTATTCTTGTGTCTATATAGGGAAGTTGCTGTTGACCAAAGCTGACTTACAATTAAAGAAATTACTGCACTGTAGGCATTTCATTTGGATTAATCAAATCATTTTTAAAGACATTTTGTATTTCAAACGCATCGGATCTGGATTGGTTCCAAAAACACTCAACCTTTTGGCAAAAGACTTTGTTTTTTTTAATAACTTCCTTATTAAAAAACATGCTAGAACGTTAAAGCGATAAAAATGATGACAAACAAACACAGAAAGTAATGTTGGAATGGAATGAAACTCTTAATGGAAATTGCGTCCCTCATCTCTCTTTAATCCGTTCACCAGGGAGAGTGTTATTATATAATGTCACTCTTTCCAAATAATATAAAAGTTTATTTTCTTTGCATTATACAAGTGTTTCTCTCTTTCTAACTGAACTTCCACGCTTTATTTCGATACATTCTCCAAGTGTTTCTCTCTTTTATTTGAGTTTCTCCTTTTGGACTGAACTACCACGCTTTACTTTCTTTAAATTCTACAAGTGGTTCTCCTTTTGAACTGTACCACCACGCTTTACTTTCTTTAAATTCTACAAGTGGTTCTCCTCTTGAACTGTACCACCACGCTTTACTTTCTGTATATTCTACAAGTGTTTCTCTCTTTCTAACTGAACTACCACGCTTTACTTCTATACATTATATAAACATCTGTTTTGTGTTGATTTTTAGAATGATTTATTTTTCTTTTCTCTTTATCGATAAAGTATCGAAAAATTTCTCTAGTTCTATGTATTGAGTTCATATGGAGAGTTCTACAAAGAACTCTACAAAAAAACCGCACTAACTTTCGAGGTTACGCTGTATCTTCAATGTTGCGTCATAGTTTTCTTGTTCAAGTATTTTTTAAAGCGTTGTATAGAGCATTAGGTAGAGCTTCTAATAGTCTGGTATTTGATTGCTGGACAGTCTATAAATTATAAGCAGATTCTTTAAATACCTATTATGAAAAAATAAAACGAGATGTTCGCAGTTAATACATTGCAAGTATACTACATCTTGTCAATTTACTAGAACGAACCAATTTTTACCATGAAATATTTTTCGTTTTCGTAGGAACATTTTTATTACAGGGGGTTCAAAAAATTAGCCCAGCCTAACCACACTTTTTACGCCAATTTAGAAGGACGGTACACATATATATTATACAGCGACGTTTGTCAAGAAAATTAGAACTTATTATCTTTATTTTGAAATGTCATTGTGTGGGGAGCAGTTGATTAGAAACCATTTTCAATAGCGTTCGTTCTTCAGTCAAATATCCTCGACCATAAATATGAATATTTATGATCTGGGTATTTATGCATGTAATTAATGCATGTAATGCCTTGACAATATTTTGGCAGAGCATTCGTAAAAGCGGTTAGTTTTGAAATTATTCTTGTGACGGCAAGGCAGTGCACACATTTGTACAATTTTGTTTACTGACATATAGAGGGCGCTTTATGCGAGGAAATGGTGAAAATGTTGATAACACAGCTTCTCAAATTGATTTATTTTTTTATTTAACTTTTGTTGAGATTATTATTTTTTAAGCAACTTAAAGGCAATAAATATTAAAAAATCTTCATCACATCTATGGTGTGTTTTAAATGCTATTTTAAAAAAAAAATTAATTACGTAAATAATAATTGTTTTGTAACACTGAGGGAGATATACACTGATGGCTTTCCTAAGTCATGATTAGAGTTGAATGCATTGAAAGCAACAAATAAGAATATAATTCTTATACTAGAAACAGCAATCAAAGGTCATTGTATTATAAGGATCTGAGGGATATAGTGCCTACAACTGAATTGAGCTCTAAATTGATTTGGGAAAATATCCTCATTATTGCTTGTAGCGAAAGAACAAGCCTAGAAGTCAGACTTACTTTGCAGAAGCTACTTTAATCTTCGATTTTTTTTTCAACTATATAAGTGGTTCCTTCTCTTTATATATTTTTATTTTTAATAATTTTTGTTTTTAGTTTACTATCTATTTTACTAATTCTATGTTTACATACATATGATAATTTTATAAATATTACTCAATTTGGTTGTTCTATTAGCAATACTTAGGATAAGTGCTTCCGAGTTCATTTTGTTGTCAACTTCAGTTAAGCTACCTTTCTGCCCTTGAGCAGGCAGTGGAATTCGCAAAATTAGATAGAAACATGAATTGTAGCTTTCATATTTATGTATATATCTATTAACGAAAGTCTGTGAAGCTGAAAGATCTGCGAAAAAAAAAATTAAATTCCATTAAATTTCCATTATCATTCTTATAAGATATTTACGTCATCTATTTATGGAACGCCATCCGTCTAAATATTCATATAATCAGTGATTTTTATTACTCAGAAAACTTAGATGATTTCTTTTTGTGGCTTACAAAGTTCAAAAGTGAGGGCGATAGAGTCTACTTGGTCGTAGCTGCAATCAGTGCTCCGTCGGTAAAGCACGCCTTATGTATTTCTCTTTCCTCACATCTTTCTCATTATCCCTGATCATTAATGGCACATCTTCTGAGTAATTAGCGGTATATAAAAGAAGCATAATTTCTTCTGTGACTTCACAAAATGCTTCAAACGCATTCTATGGTATGTCTGTCTACTAACGGAGGTCTTGCAAGTAGCGCGGAAATGATAGAAATTATTCTTTTATTGCCGTGAACATCTGTTGAAGGACGCGGTGCCCATATATTAAAAGAAACTCTCTATTCGATCTATACATAGTATAGCTCAGGAGCATTACAATTTCTAAACAATAATTTTTTTTTTCTTGGTTAACGAAAATCCTTAGATCGATATAAAAAGATGGTTGTGGGTGTAGCGACACTTTAAAAATTCAAAAATTTAATTTGGCAAACATGATTACATAACAGTGCACTACTATACTTTGCTTTAGAGTTTAAATTATAGTGTTAAAACGGCTTTTAACAAAACTCTTATAACTTCTCAGAATATTTTGAAAAATATCTAGAGAAACATGGAAAGTTTTTTCGATAAATTGATCCCAGCAATTTTTATGCGAAAATTGAAATTTTTAATTCCAATTATCCGCACACACACGAAAAATAATATTTATAAAAAATACTATTTCTTTGTTCAGCTATACACATTACCCTTTTTTATACCCATCACCGAAGGATCAAAGGTATATGCATTTCTCCAAAACGTTGGCAACGCCCAGAAAGAAGCTTCAGATACCCCACAAAGTGTATATATTTTTGATCAGCATCAAAGTCTGCAAAAGTCAGATTTAAGCATGTTCGTCCCTCCGTCTGCATAATGTCTATTGTGTGCAAAAACGAAGCTATCGACCTCAAATTTGGCAGAAACAATGAAAGTTCTTGTTATGTTGGAAGATCCGCACACGGCTCAATATAATTTTCTTACTTGTTTTGCTTCTTTTTTTTTAGATTCAAAATTTGCAATTTTTTAATATTTTCCGAAAATTATTTTCTTTTTAATACTTAAAATTTCGTTGAATATTATTATTCCATGACGTTTCTATTCAGGCTAAAAAAATGGTTTCCTTTAGACTTTCACGGTGAACAGTGCTTTGTCATATTAAATGAACGTGAATTCAATATTCGCCTTAAGGCGAATCTATCTTTGCTTATTTTAATATTTAGTAACAGTTATCGGTTGTCTTATAACAAAGAAAACAAGCAAAAAAAAAAAAAAAAAAAAATATTAAATAAAATAAGCAAAACAAAAATAAAAATTTCAACGATGACAATCAACTCATTCACGTGTGCACCGGTACATGGAAATAGTGTTGAAGACATATATGGTAACTAAGGAAATGATGGTGCATTCGCTTTAAAACGAATCTTGAATACTCATCAATAATACCTAAATGTTATAAATGTTATGCAAATTAAACTGTCACTCTCTAGCCATCTAATCAACTCAAAACCCACATTTTGGAGGGAAGCGGTAAAGTAAAAGTGCTTAGCATGTCTTTAAATTGCCGGCAAACGCAAATTGTACGGATAAGATCTGAGCATTAGATCTGAGTGTGCTGAGTGTTACAAACAAACTGATCAATTTTATACGATCTCATGTTATGTCGGGTATCAAAGTTACAACACTTAAGAAATACTAAATAAAGATAACTTACTTACACTTGGTGCAGTTTGTGTTGATGATTGACGAATCGCGTAGTTTACCTTTATACTACTTTTATACTACTCTCTCGGTTGTAATTTGAGATAAGGCCAGTCATCATTATCAGTTGAAAATGGTATACAAAAATTCTAATTGCGTTCATATGATTGATCTATGTTAATTATTATATTTCAATGAATATATATCTGATAATTGTAGGTAATATTATATTGAAAATGATTGAAACAGCGGAACAGAGTGCAAAATAAACTCAATAAGATAAAGAGTAAAAATAATAAATAAAAGCAAAAATATGATTTTTAATTATTACACAAGAGCTATAAATATGTACAGCTTTATGTTCGTCGTATAAAAAAACCACTCATAACAGTTACATATAATACAAACTGACATTGTTTTTAGTTTAATGAGAAACGTGAACCAGAAAAGTTGCAAAATTTTAGAACAATAACAAAGCGATATGATTTAGTAAATTCTCCTTAATTTTTGCATAAAACTGAACAATTTTTTTTAACTCAAGTAATTTTTTTTTTTTTTTTTTTTTTTTTTATAGAATACAATTTATTTCTCTGATTATTGCCGTAAGGATGGTTTCGCCACAAACCATCAGTAAAGGATCCTGTAGTAAAAGTGTGGAAACTAAGGCGGATTTTGACGTTGATAGAGTATGACAATGCTTTTCTTCTTACCATTTTTTAAGATAAGTTGAAGTAATTAAACTCATATTTTTTCATAATTTTCAGTACTCTGGTCGTTGGTATGAATATGAAAAATATCCATTCATCTTTGAATTCGGCGGCAAATGCATTTACGCTGATTACCATAATTTAGGTAACAACGAAGTCAGCGTTTTTAATTCTCAAAAAAGTAAACTGTAAGTACAACAAGTAAGTAAAAGAAGTTTTACGAAGCATTTATTTTACGAATATTTAGCACCGGGTTAGATAGTCGCATTAAAGGTGTCGCCAACGTCATAAGTCCCGGCAAACTTCAGGTACGATTTGATGGATTTGCCGGTAAGTGCTTACAATAACAATAATCAAATCGAAAACTAATGTTCAACTAGGCGTTATGGATTAGATTTTTCTTTTTTAGCTTCCGAATCATATTGATTGAGCGTATTTTTCTGCCCTACACTGCTTTTAAGACAAGGTGCACGAAGTTAGGATAGACCCAATTTGTAGTCTATCGATCGCTTGTTTGACTGCCTATACGTTGGCCACGGCCAACTTTAGTTAGTTAGCCACTATCTCAAGTCCGTAAAGGGGTTGTATAAATCCCAACAAACCAACTATATCCATATATAACAATTATAATCGGAGCAAAGTTTACTTTCGAGACAATGTAATTGAAAGACAATTTCGAATGTTTACATGTAAAATTCAAAATGTATTTAAATTCTTTAGGCAAGAATTACCGCATGAAAGTTAGGAAACAACATTTACCCATTCGCAGTGTCTGTCTGATGTGTGCACGTTTACAGATGCGATTAGAGATATAGTATAAAAATTGTACACATTGGTTGAGACTCGTCATAAGGCGCTTGTAACCGACCTACTTCTTCGCATATTAACTCTGTTATTGTGAGTAAAAGGGAAAATTAGAATTGCACAAGTGTTTTTTTTTTTTAAATTGTACGACATTTTTATGCAAATCAACTAAAATTTTTTATTTCACAAGCGCGATCTTCCATGAGATCTGGATGCGTGGATTTAATTAAAGTGCAGAAAGAGTACATTTTTCATCGAAATTTATGGCACTTTAGGCATTCGATCTCTTGTTAATTCCGACTGTCTGTAATCAAGTAATCGTATTACGTATAGCAGTCTTTTATAATTATTTTCATGTGTATCGTTAGTATAATCAATGAATAGTACTTTGCACAGAACGCTTACACATTGCGTAATTAATTTTATAAAATTTTCCCTGTGATCTTGTGTTATAATAACCGGTTAAAGATAAATATTGTTAAGTAAATTAAACAGTTGCTTTAATTAATTAATTCTCATTTTGCAGCTTTAGCAGGTCCCGGTGATTACTGGGTTTTAGGTACGGATTACGAAAATTATGCTGTTGTATACTCTTGTACGGACTTTCTGGGCATAGTTAATACGAGTAAGTTATTTGACCAAAACAATTGTTTATATATGAAATAGATCCAAATAAAATGGTTCGTCTTCTTTTTTTTTTTTGTTATGCAGAAGTGATATGGATTTTAACCCGCCAACGTTTTCCTGGTGACGACATTGTAAGCGAAGCTCGCGACCTAATATCTTCAAATGGTTTTTCTTTAACGAATTTAGTAAGAACCGATCAAAGTCAGTGCGAGTGAAAGATTACAATTCCGGCATTTTTTAAAATTTGCAAACTATTCCTGTTTAATTTTTATGTTTTATGTAATTAAAAGAAGTATTTCCCTCGTCTTCTTCCTTTTTTCTTTTGCCCTCAACATTTTTTGTTGTCGTTTTCGTTTTTAATTACAAGCAATTATATATTCAGTTATTTAGCATTTGTTAACGGCTTTGTGGCGACTTTGCATAGACTTAACATAGACTTAAGATTCTTTACAAGTCGACATGAAAGCAAAGCGGCAGCAAAACGATTACAAGAAGAATGAAAAATAAAATGAAATGAAAATAGAAATAGAAATAAAAATAAAAAAAAAAGTAAAACAAAATTATATGCGCCTTGTGGTCGTTCTTGGTTATCAGTCATCTTAACAATTGCAAAACTTTTGCATTAACTTCAAACGAGTTTACATATAGGCTACTATTTGAGTAGAAAACAAAAGCCGTTAAAGCTTGAAAATTATTGACAATATTGATCTTTTTAGTTATTTGAGGATCGTTTGTTGGGACAACTTTGATCGATGCTTTCCGAACTTTATTTTAGGGAATTTTCAATGACTACTTGGTGTCATTGGATTGAAAGACGAATATGATTATCAGTTTAGAATTGCGTATAATTCTCTCCGTGTGTGGAATAAGTGCCTTCCTATTTCATATTTAAGTTTAGCGATTTTCCAATTATAATAAATAATTGGACGAAGGGACAGACCTGTACTATCAATTCAGAACTTTTAAGGAAGGAATACTCGTAAATCGTCTCAAATGAGCTGTTTAGACATATAAGACCATGGATGCCTTAAATTTAACATACCTTTATATATTGTAAGTGTCTTATAAAACAAAAGAGATAATACAATACTTGAATCTGTAAACGTATGAAAACATTAAAGTTCAGAATAAATTAGATGCCTTCGGTTGTTTTATATAGAAAATGAATTTTCTTTTCTTTTCATCTTTTAATTTTAATTTGGTTGCGTCTATCTATCCTCATTCGTAGTCTAACTTCGTTTCTCGTTGTAAAACACTAGCGTTTTGCAGTAAAGTTAAAATTTTATAAACGTACGTACGTACAAAGATAAAATAGTATAATTCATAAATTGTCTAAATGAATTTTTAAATAGCTTAAAGCAAATTTATATTGTAAAAAAACATTGGAATGCTGCATTTTTGTGTTTATGATGGAACGCAGTTAGTGAGAAAAAAATGTAATTAAGAAAACTTCGGTTGTCATAACTTCTATCTATCATTTCAAGGTTTTCATTTTATTCACTACGTATTTTGTAATATTATAAAAAAAGAAAGCAGAATGTGTGAAAAGTTTTAATTTCTCCTATCAGTTGTCATTGATATGAGGACATTTATTACGGATAGGTAGCCGCCTGTAAAATTGAACATATAGCAAGCTTAGTTGCCAAGCAGTCTTCAAATCATCTTTACTTTCTCAGTTTTCCAAAAAAACTTTTCTAATAATAGCGGGTTGTGTTAAATATATTTTGTTAGGGCATGTAACATGTAGGCAATTTACTGCTTGCTGGCAGTTGTTCTCTTTACTTACTTGGGAGAAGGTTATTTAATAAAAACCTACAAATTACTAAAGGCCTTTCAGAAGAAGTCATATCTTGAATGCAAAGCTTCTCATTGCTATAGATACAGGAGTTTTCAAAAAGATTAACAAGGGAAGTTATTTATTAGCCCATTAATACGGCGCAGTAGGTACGGTAGACTCGTCCAGATTCTACAAATTTCGAAGTTATTAAAAATCTTTGCTGCTTGGGGTTGCAAACTGGTCACTATTGGGGAGCTTTATTGGGACGAGTTTGCAAACATATATATAAAGCTTCATAGAATGAATGTTGAAAAAACCCATAAGAATTTGCCAATTGCCCAGCTTGTGCTACGGCTCAAAGCTAGCGAGAGAATTACTCCCCTAGTTCATATCATCGGCTTATACTGTCTTCTTCAAACATACAGAAGCATGGACCCGATAAAATGCATAAATTCTTCCTCAGCGTAATAATCATCAATATAGCCGAAAGAATAATTGATATTTTGAAGCTATGTACGAAGGAAGCCCTTATATGTACATGTATTTGTTTTCACAATAGCAAGTACATTTTACTAAATTGGCAAAGAGTTTCGTCTAGTAGATGACTCGCGCAGACCTTCATGAAAGGAGCAAATTGGTTAAAAGAAATAACGGTAAGAAGCTAAGTTAATGCAGCTTATGCAGCGCTGATATGTTGTGCACTTAGTTTTGCGATATTCGACAATTTTATCAAATTAACTTAATCTATTGGCTGTGTGAAAACTGCGTCATTTGTGTTATCCTGCTTTCTGTTAAGCTGCTTACGATTGGAAGCCATTCCCACGTCACATGTACCGTTATCAGCTCACGCAAGTAATTTCAATAATTTTAAATAAACGCTTCACTTTTATGTTTATGACAGAAAATGTACGTTTTTCGTCGTCGAGGATACCTTTACCAGAATACGCTAAAAAATTAAATAATTTTCGATAAATGCTTTGTTTTTGTGCTTATACATTACATCATATAGTGTATCGTTATCGATCCATGTCTCAAAAATTTCAATTTATTTTTACAATCTAACATCCTAAATTAAAATATTGAGATCATCGTACAAATCGATTTTAGCATGTACTGAAAACGGTACACATGTGAGAGAAAGTGGTAGCACGAAGGTATTTCTAAACCTATCGAGTGCTGCGAATGACACTCTCGCGCAATTCATAAAGTTTATTACTTAATAATATATTACTGTAGTGCGCCCGTCAATCAAATACAAGCAAGATTGTAGAGATTTTAGTGTTCATTCATACAAAAGCGGTTTCAAATTCGCTGTGGTCAAAAATTTCAAAAAAAAGGAAATAAAAAGCTTATATATAAACGCGCAGAAAAAATCAATTTCAATTTTTTTAAAACAAATTTATGAAAAAAGAAAATGTATAAAATTTTTTTCTGTTCTATAAATAAAAATGTTTTGCTTAGCAATACCGCATTCCGCAATTGAAATGTGTAGACATACCATTCGTTAATCTGGTTCAGCTGAAGCTCTTAACAAGGGAAAACCTGCCGGGATTTTTAGACAAATCTGCAATATTCGTTACGTTAAGTGAATTTGTCGTTATGTATACGCAGTGGAGAAAAGTATGGTAGGTTCGACTTGTCGGAATATATATGAAGATAAATATGACTTTGCGCGATTTTATATTCTTGAGATGATCTAAGTAAAGTAACACAGAGAATTTCGCAAGCGATGAGCTTATCGTTTAGTAAATTGAATGTATTCCAGATCTACACTTTCATATAAACCAAGAATATAAAATATCTCTTTCTCTCTCCCTCTCTCCCCAGAGTATTTGATTGTTTGAAAAAAAATTTGGAAGACTTTTAGTTCTCTGCATTTTCGTTTTCCCTTTTTAAACGTAGAGACCTTTAACATCCATATTTAGGGGGTAGAGATCGACAGGCAGACATAACGGATCAAATTTGTCTTTAGTGAATGGAATCTCTTAAACTTACTTTGGCATATTATAAAAGGTATTGATCGATTGTACTTGTACATTAGTTGAAAACATTTGTGATGGTTGAAATTATATTATAAGTAGCAGCATATAGTTGGAATGATTTTAAAGTTTCTTACTTGCATTCACTAATCAATTTAAAATTTTTTCACATCGGATCTAACGCAATATCATAAAATTTTAGCAGCGATTATTAGAGAAAAGTATTTACCCTCTTATATTTTGGCAAAATTTAAAGTTTATCATGTACGTGCACACACTTAACTATGTGCAGAGAAAAGAGCGAAGAGACTATCATCAAAATACCCTTAGGAATAGTTATGGACAAAGAGGGAACACACACCCGATGCATGAGACATAAAATGCTTACATTTCATCTTGCGAATATACATACATTTGAAAGCATACATACATACATATTTGCACAGTTTCTTATAACCAAAAAACAAACATATCCGTAGAGCAAAAATAACAAGAAGGCAGAAAAAAAAGAAAAGAACGTATTACCTTTAAGCATAAAGGACAACAAGGAAAAGATGAGAAGACAAGAAACAAAAAAGAAAAAGAAACGTACCGCACACGAAGCCAAAAGCAAGCAGAGAATCGAAGAAAAGACATCCTTTTCCAGAAAATTTAATAATAATATTTAGCAAACTAAAGATAACTAAATGAGAAATGGTTTCTTCATATTAAACATATACATACACACATATATAAACTAACGCATATGACACGCATTTAATATGTGTATATATATGTATCAGCTAAAGCTGAATATTTTCAAAAAATAAAAAAAAAAATAAAAAGCAAAAACAACCATGCACACGGATGCCAATGTTTTTCGTTTGCAAACATAACCATGTAGACGAATACGACGCATTGCATTAATATATCTGTAAGCATGCATCTGTCGTCAAGCACTAAGCAGTCATATGCTTTTTCTCTCTAGTTATATACATATACGCAAAATGAAACTAGATTACGTTCATGCCAACCATTGAGTTTGTCCTGCACTCCGTAACTATGTTGTGTAGTTTGCATGTTTACTTTTTGGAATGAAATTCAATTGATGTATGGGCCTCTCCATTCATTATATAGAAATACTTTATACAACGCATATTAGAAAGGATACAACATCCCGTTAAAGTGCCCGTATTTTCATACATCTATTGGAAATTGTTTACATGTATGTATGTAAAGAATAAATAAAAATGTTTATTTATTTGTTTGTTTCTATGTATATTTGCATACATGTGTGCGCCTTTGGTCCTCCTCTCTCCATATATATCTATTCAATCATCGAATCGTTGATTTTCCCCTCATCATACATATACTGTACATATGTGTATACGCATCAATGTGCTTGTGCTTACATGCATAAGCGAATGATTATTATTGTTTATGTCTACGATTATATACATGTAACGCTAAAGCTGATGCCTTTGTTTCTTTTTCGATAAATGTTTTAACACATATGTCAAGCAGGCATACACACACATCTCTGTTGTACTTACAACAGCATAATAAATGTTCTTTTCTGAAATCGTATGGCAGATTAACTTTCTTAAACTATGATTCAAATCGTTTATGTAATGATGTATGTGTTATGATACGAAAGACGCAAGAGACAAATAAAATGAACACAGGAAAATTGTATGACCGTTATATCCGATGAAATTTGAAAATTTTTTATATGGGCTCATAACAAGGATCGAAAGTTTATTATCTGTCAATAAAAATACTGGGAATTATTATTATGATTGCAAACGAAGAAGAATGCACAGGATTGTTGGGCAACTGTTATAAGGTAACTCTGCACCTCGGAGTCCTTGCGCAGCAAACCGCATTGCTTGTCTTTTTAATTTATTTTTTAACGCCGTTAAGCGGTATAGGTCGACACCGACCTCCACGGTCCAAGGATCCTAAAGTTGATTTGATTTCGAATATTTTCGTCATAAATGGCGCAAAACTGGATCTTGCTGCAATATACAGCTTTACTTTACAGGAAGCCCCTATGGCACAAGGGTCCAAAACATAGGCTTTGTTGTTCAAGCACGCAAACGTTAAATTTGTACGGCAAACCTATGCTCTGGACTCATTTCTATCATAACGTTCTTCTTCAC